TATTAAATTTATTTAAATATGTATATTTTTAATCCCTTAATTTATAATATATGCATAGTTTTTAACTCTCAATTTAAAAGTTTAAAGACTAACAATGTATATATATAGACCAATTTAACTAACTAACTAATTAACAGAAAAACTAAAAAAATATATTTTTCTTAATTAATAGATTAAAAAGTGTATTAAAAAGTTAAGAGATAAAAATTGTGTAAAATTATGAAGTTGAGGGACCAAAATTGACATTTAACCAATTTTCTAACTCTTTCTTTCATTTTTTTCTTTTTTTTCTTTTTTTTTTTTTGGTAGAACCAATTTCCTAACTCTTCTCTGCTGTTTTAGGATACATAAAACACCTTTCAAATATTCTTATGACTATATGTTGAAACGGTTTCCAGGCTACCACAACCTTTCTTGTAAGTTGTAAAGTAAAACATATCTCAGTAGAAAAGGGTTGAATAACGTCCTTCCTAGTGAAACAATCACCAAACAACGCATATATGGTATCGACAAGTCATGCCAATGTCTTGGTTATATTTTTTAAGGGTAGTAAGGATAGGCAGCAAGTGGCAGGCAATCTATTTTGATAACCTTGTGTTTCGACAGAATGGTGTAAACCTACGATCAAACATGCCATGTGCACCTTTTTGGACATATCCTGTACCATAGAGCATGCTTGGAAGTTAGGCCGTTACTGTTTTGCCAGAAAATTTTAACCATAAAACAGAAGAAATTATGCTGCCTTCTGAAACATCTGTTTGCAAATAAGCAGATATCAAAAACCAACCCACAACTGGATTTAATCATATCTGAGACATCTATATAAACTTTGGAATTAGGATCATCAGAGTCGAATCTTGTCAGATCTTGTTTCTTTATGCTCTGACTTTACTGAGATAACAGTAGATAGAGTAAGTGAAAATTTTAAAATAAGGTGATAGTGCTGATATTTAAACATAAATTAGATTTTCTAAAATGTTGCAGGAGTAAGGTAAAACCTCATTTCAACTTAAGTTTGATAACTGTGGTTCACTGAACCTTTACCCTATTTAACTGACGTGAAAATTGTGCATGTGGATTTTTTATCTTGTTCAACTGATGTGAAAATTGTTTATGTAAGTTCAATACAAAATTTGCATCCAATCTAAAATCAATTGGCTAGATGGAGTAGCTTTCTTTGTATTTAACTTGACGTGAGATTTTTTCACTTAACACGCCTCTATCACGTGAGTTAACACGTCCCCTTAAATGCAGATCTAGTACCTTCAACTTCGGATTGGATTTTGCCAAGTGAACTAACAACGGGTTTTTTAGGACAAAATCTGGGCCTTGATACCATGTGAAAATTGTGCATGTACATTCAACACAAAATTTGCATCCAACCTAAAACCAATTGACCTTGTATTTAATCCACAAGTTTTTTATTTTTATACTTGATGTAGGCTTTTCTGACTTAACAACTAAACCTTTACCATGTTTAGTGCTGGAGTTGCTATTTTGTGTCAATCATTTTTGGCACCAAGTAATGGAATACAGAGGAGGGAATATAGAGGTATAAAATGCATATAAAAAATTTATTAAAGGATTGTTTGGTGTAGTATTTTGAAATTAGTAACTAGTGATTTTGTTTAATCTAAGTGTTGTTAATTGTTATTTTTTAATAATTTTAATACTCTTATTTACTAGATCAGATGAATCTACTAACCGCTATATCAAATAGCTCCTAAATCTATAACTAAACTCCTCTCATAAATAACCAGATTAGTCACTAGGTAGATACATTTGCTTTCTGGTGTGGGTCTCCTAACTGATAGCCCTTTTGCTAAAAGAGTACTAAACAAGAACAATGTTTACAAAGTCCCAAAAATTTTCTCATTGCTCGATAAGATTTTCCTAACAGAAGACACATTAATTTGATGATTTCACTTGACAGTAACTTGTTGAGACATATGGTTAGGATAAGATATTTTAGGCACCCATATCCTGAAAAGCCATTTCTTAAGAAAAGGACAGATTAATTAGTTGTAGTTCGAACTTTTTTTTTCCTGTAGATAAACAAATCCCACCATTTCAAGGATTGTTTAATGTTTGTCCTCTTTGGGGATGGAGCAGTTTTAGGACCTACTCAGATTTGATGAGTGTATAGATTGCAATTGGTTTAGAAAACTATGGAAGAGATCTACTTTCAAACTGGTACTTTTCCTCTATCTTAGTGATTTGTTCCCTTAATGGGTGTGGATTACATTAATCATGGTGGATTACATTATATTAGTGATTTGGTTTGCTCTGTATAATTTGTACTTTTACTCTATGTTAATCATGGTGAAATTTTCCATCAGAATTTTTTTGAATAGCTTTTCCTCATAATCACTAGTAACTTTTGACTATATTTACCATGTTCTGTCTCCCTTTCTTCAGCACAAGTTGTAACCGTGCATCATGTTGCATGTTCAGCTTTCTCAAAGTTCCAAACATGAGTAAAAGACTTGTATCTTTATCACCTAAAAGATAAAGAGAAATACACAGTTTTAGAATTTTAAGAACAAATATGAAGAGAAATCCATAACAGGAAATGCATCTAACCCTATGAACTGATTTCCCAGGTTCATCTGCCTCTTTGCCTTTAATTGTCAGCCTTTATATTTTGACAATTAAAGTGAAAATTAAAGATTTCAACTTAGGGTAGTGGAAGATTTCTCAGTGATCCAATTCAAAAATTGCACCTACGTAGCAGCATCAAACTCATCTATTTTAAGCAACCTTGTTTTTAACACCCTTAAATACGTTAGTTTTAAGTGTAAGCAACTTCTATTTTGGCTCCCATGTCAACTTGTATCCATCTTATCAATATTTTCTTCCTTATTTCTTGATCATCTTCTGTCACCAGCTAAAATTTGATTTGTATATCAATACTGATGGCTCATCTAATTCAATCATTTTCTTTCAGACCCAAAAAAACAAAAATGAAAATGATCATCGTCCTATAAGTTCTATAGTAGGAATGTAGATTTAAAGGGTATGATTAGTTGATGTTGCGGTAGAAATCAATGTCTAAATATTATATTTGATTTAAGCTTTAATTCTAGGAAAATGCATAACGTGTTAATTCACAGCACGTGCTTGCTTTCTCTTTAACGCTTCCATTCTGGACAAATCAGGTGTATCGAACTTTAATAACACCTAAATGCATTTTTTATGCATAAATTATGGGTTCCTTAAACCAGTTTTCACTTGTTGGAACATATTTTATGAAGATTTGACTCTGTTACATATGTACTAGATCTGAAGCTTCTAGCCCCTTGCCTTGCAGGCTTCATTCAGTTAGCTTTAAATTTAATCTCCCTTTTTTAGTCTTCTTGTTTCTTTGCCTATTTAATTTCAGAATGGAGAACAATAGAAATCAAATCTACACATGAAAACATATATAGTAAAGGAAGAGAATATTTAGCACACAGATTTTCATATATAGTCATGATAAACATATTTTTACAAGGACACATACTATATTTCACTGTATCTTGTATTGATAATACATAAACCAAAACTAGGACACAGATTTCCCTCCTATGTTTTTCTCTAATCATTTGCACACAATTGCATCTGAAGCGACATGTTCTTGATGAATTCAGTTTCGGTTTGATGGGGTTATGATAAAACAACTTTATAACATGACGGATGCTCAGATCACCAAATCATATTTGCTGCCGAACTTGAGGAAAGAAAAACTGAACTCCCCTATGTAGATATATCCGTTAGTTAGCCCTATCTAAACTTCGCTCCAGCCAACCTCCGGAGCAGTCTCAGATCCAAAATCTCCCCTGCGAGAACACAAGCTGGAAGCTGAAAGATTTCCTCTTGACCAGAGATAAACCATCATCTTCCCTTGTTCTTAACTGGGTTTTTGTTTGTGGGCTGAGGGTTCCTCATACACCACATCCTAAGCCTCTGGCTTCTGATCCTTTCATGATTCTCAATCTCTTGCATGAACTCGTGAACATTCTGCAATATGATCATGGAAACCCTTGTAAGTCACAGCCATATAGAATACATTTCCTGAGAATCTAATTGATTACGGAGAAAGAAACTTACTCCCAAGGAACATCTCCAACCAGCATCCAGTCTCCATCTTTGTCTTCGTAAGTAGGGGCATACTCTGATCCTTTGTAGCCTTCTCTCTCTGAGTACACGCCTGATAAAGGTAAATCCAGGGTCATTTTCAAACCATCATGAAATGAAATTCATCCAAAAACAAACAGTCACATCATATACATAAACATCAAATCAAGGAATAAAATATCAACAAAAATCAACATTTCTTACCTATGGTGAGCTTGAACATGTTTTCCAGGGCCTTAAGGAGATCAGGGTATCCCTGGTAGACCTTCAAGTCAATCTTTCTCAGGTATGGTGCTCCATCCATGCTCACTTTCACATAAATCCCAGGACCCTCAGGCTCACCCTTCTTTGCCTGAAAGCTGTTTTTCCTATAGGATCTGATAGGTGGCCACCCCACTATCTGTGTCCTGCATATCAAACAACATCTCATCAGTTTCTGCTTTATTGTTCAGATAAAACCAAGATTTCATTTTAGCAAATCAAAGATTGACTTACTTGGCAGGTGGGGCAGTTTCATGTTCAGCATCAGATTTGCCGTTTCCTCCACACTCCTCAGCCATGGAGGCTTCCGGCATTGGCCTCTTGTTTCTAACATTGGAAACTGCTTGTTCCTCTACTTCATCTGTGCCAGGCAACCCCAATCTAAGCTCAGTTGCCTTCAGGTTTAGATCATTTCCATATCCCAAAGCTTTCTCCATTTCTCCACAAAATCTTCAACCAAAAACACAAACCCAAAATTCACCTTCGCTTAGCAAAACCAAAGTAGTTTCTTCAACAGCTGAATCTAAAACTTGATTAAACACAAGTTGTTGAGAGAGAAAATAAATAAGAATGCAACTTGTGATGGAGGGTGGAGAATAATGCAAAGGTGGGTGTTTTTTATAGGATACAATGAATGGAGTGAATAGAAAAACCCCTGTTATTCTCTCCAATGCGTGAATTATGGACCAAGGCAGGCTGCTGTCGGTGGCAAAAGCAGCAACTTTGAGGCAACGTGCCCCTGCAATGGGGGACAAAGGTGGGACATGCTACAGCCGCCCATATGGAAGAGTTTGAGCTCTAGCAAGGGTCAAGATGAGTTCTGACCTTGAAGCGGGTTGCTGTAGAGAAATCAGGACCCTTGAATTTTTTCTCTTTCATTTAAAAAAAATAATAATATGTGTTCTTAAAA